AGAGAGAGAGAGAGAGAGAGAGAGAGAGAGAGGATACGTCCGACAGGCGCGAACCGATAGAACGCGACTCGAGGATTCGTAATGGCACGACGTACGAGCAGATGTACGAACGCTGTTCGAATCGAGACGAAAAGAGAAATCGAGTGACCGAGCCAAGTGTAAATCTGTTTGAAACGACGGAGGAAATCGAAAAATCTGTTTCGATTCTTTGCGATTCGAGCGTGATCGTCGGGTAAACTGATTGAGCTTTTAGCTTCGGTTTGCAATCTTGTCCGAATGCAGGCGCTGTCCTCCCTGATTCCGATTACCGATCGTGACGAACGTGTACGAATGACTCGTTTGAATGTTCGAAACGCGCAAACGACAGTGCAAACTACGAAAATGAACGAATCGATTTGTCGATTGGATGCACGCGCGTGTTTCGACGAATAACGCGTTTATCCGATAACGAATGAGACAGTTGTCCGATTGTTTCGTCTTTCGCGTACCTTCGCGTGACCGCGCGTGAAAGGAAAAGTTGAATCGACCGATCGATCGTTCGTTCGTTGCTCTCCGATTCCACGAATTACTTCCGGTCCGTACGTGCGTGTAAACGTACGCGTGTCTCGTAAATATAAATCGCGCATATTCGCTTGAATACGCTACTCTCCGCTACTCTCCACGCCGACTTACCTGTTTCGTTGAGAATTGCGATTAGGTATCGGTATCGTGTTTCCAGTGACGTTGCCTCCGTTGTTACCAACGTTACGCGTGTTACGTTCGTCGGCGGAGGTCCTGGGTAATCTGGGACTTCCAGCGAGTACGATACCCAGTAAACACGCGACCAATATTGCGGCTTCTCTCATGATCGAACGATCGAAAAACGTGAAAGGAACGTGAAAGATGAAGGAGCGACGAACGTAACGACGCGATGTCGATGGCGAGCGAGTGTAAAAGGGAAAAGAGAAGAACGAGTGGGAGGAGAAAAAGAAAGAGTGAAACGAGACGAGAGAACGGAGGAAGAAGAGAAAGAAAAGCGAAGGGCAAGAGTAAACACGCAACGGAACGAAAGAAATACGCGATTTTTAAAGTTCACGTACCCGCGGCACTCCCGAACTCGTCGCTCGATCAGTCGTTCGTACGCGACTCGTTCCTCTTCTTCTTGGATCAAACGTCCGTTCGCATCGGTCGATGTTTGCGCGAGTAACGACACTCACTGGCGATATTGTTGTCGTTGTTCTCGAATTGAAAGTACGCGCGAGATACTCGGAGCGAAAGTACGAACGTTCCTTTCCGACCGGAGATCGAGATCAACTTGCCATCGGAACGCGAATCGCAAATCGCAGAGCGCGACTCGCTGCGGTAATTTTCAGTTCACGAACGATTCGTGTGGCAGCCAGTCTGGCGACGATGACTGTTTCCGATCCTCTCCAACTTCTCGAAACGCGAGTGAAATTTGTCGCGCCTTGTTCGTTTTCCTTTTCGTAGCGATTCTATTCGCTGTTACGATCTTCTTGGTACGCGTTCGCTTCGATCGAACGACGATACGCGGTCTCCTCGATCGATCGAGACACGCGAGGCAAACATGCGGCAACTGGTGATGCGATTGATGCTTCGTTTGACGTACATCGACGGATACGGTTCTTTTCTCCTTTTCTCCGAAGGAACAAACAACGGAAAAGAAAAGAAAACAACAGCCAAAGTATACGCGTCTGTGTATGCGCGAATGTATGTCGGTACACGCGTCGCTGCGCTATGTATCTGGGAAACAACTTTCGCTCGACGCGCGAGGCAAAGTTGACGCGACGGCTTGAAAACCGGAACGCTGGGTTTACCTTGCGGCGGTATAAAGTAGCAAAGGATGATAAAAAGTAAAACGACGACGTCGATGTTGTTCGACCGTTGTACTGTGCGCGTTCCTTCGAATCTCGATCGTCGCACGCTGTTGAAAGATTTCCTCTTTCCACGCCGGATGTTGCGCCAAACACCTGTTCTTCCCTTTTCACCGGAGATGGACGATTCGTCCGTTTTTCTACTCTCTCGCTGGTTCGGTGTCGCAACGGCAACCTGGACGAATTCTACGTCGAACGGTCGCGTCTGTCCATCTCCTTTTTTTTCACTCTCGCTGTCGTTCGATCGTCGTTCTATCTCCCGAAGCAACGAACGAAATACGCAACGGCGCGACGTACGTATACGTATGCGCGCCGTATATTTTAATTTCGATACGGACGACCGGACTACCACCGACGCCAGACCGTAAACCACCGACGACGAGTAACCGCCGAACGTCGCTCGATTGTAACAGACTTGCTTACTTTCGCGTACACGCGCGCGTATTCGCGTTGAAACGGAGTACCACCTGCGTGGCTCTCCCCACTCGGCTCTCCGCTCAACCGATCGCCATTCTCTCCTCTTTTTCCATCCTTTCCCTCGGTAAAGCTCCGATCCGATCTGCGATCCGACGATTCGGATTCGATCCGTTTGAATTCCCGGTACCACCGTTCCGTTCCGTTCCGTTCCGCGACTCCTTTCCCTTCCTTCCTTCCTCTTCCTGCTCGCAACGTTGTACATCGTTACCAGCGTTACCGACAGATGTCTCTCTGATCGCGCGTACCAACGGGCGGGATGACGCAACGTGTAAAACTACGCGGCGACTAGACGAGTACCATCCGTGATCTTCGTTTACTCGTTGTTGCCTTCTGCTGTATCGTTGCGTGCTACTACGTTGCACACACACGCGCGTATATATGTGTAAAACTTGTCGCGTGTTGCGTGTGCGCGTATCGATGCATACGTTGTATATCGATGCATACGTTGTCGAATTGATTGAACTTGACATCTACGCGTGTCTCGTATCGAAGCGTACGATTTCTTAGAAACGAATTACGTTTAAAACTAAAAAAAATTTAGATGGCGGGTTAAAAATCACGATTGACGTTGAAGGGCGAAGTAGTACGCTTTCGGCGAAACGGACGAACCGTATAGATCCGTTATTCGCGACTGACGCTTTTACGCCCGCGCTCGTGTAAAAAACTTTTTACGAAAAATTACGAACCGGTTCGTAGTTGTTCGTTGTTTCTTGGATTTCTACTCGCGTGGAATGTCGTGATTCTACGCGCGTTCCAAGAGTCTCGGACTCGAACCGTGTCTCGACCTTGATCGAGCGTCGATGCGACGATTGATCGAGAAACGAGAGAGAACGTACTTGCGATATTACCGAGAAATGAACGTTCCGTGATTATCAGGGCATATCGATCTCACACGCGCATTTCGAAATTTTTCAAAGACAACGTTCGAAACGAAGAAGAAGCGAAAAAGTTCGGAACGTGGAATCGAATTGAAAATTGACAGATGCAACGACTGGCAAGGACCGTGTAGCGATCAGTGGGAAGGAGGAATACGAGGAACGAAGAAACGCGAAACGACGAGAAATACGTAGAAAATGGAAAACTAAGTCGTTGCCGGTGATTGCGAGGGAGAAAGGGCGGAAGAAGAAATTAAAAGGAGAGGAAAGAAAGAACAAGTTGTCGGGAGAAACGAGAAAAATTCATCGATCCGTACGAACGTTTCGTTTACGAACGTTTTCAATCGCGTCCGTGAGATGGAATCCCTGGCCTTGGTCCGCTGCTCGGTCCGTTTCGTCAAATTCGTCCAGCGCGATAAAAATTTATAAATATCTATATTCGATGGATCGAAATGGTAAATGTACTTGGTGAAACGTTTGCGAATATATTTAAAAGTGTGTGTAGTAACGTGCGACAAATTTCGTACACTTGTCGTACACTTTGAACGGCGATTTGCCGTTTCCAGTGTTTTCATCTATCGAGCGGAATATCTGCGAATATTTATTTCGTTTCGTTTCGTTTCGTTTCGTTTCGTGGAACGAACCTCGGTGCCGTGTGCAGAGGTATCCGAGAAACTCTCCGTGAAATTGCACGAATTCACAGGTTAATTATTTTTCCCAAAATAGCTTTCGTCCTTTTTGCGAGAAAAAGTTTCCAACGAATGCGACAACGTTGCGTCGTGGCGATACGACGAAATTGAAAAGTTAAATTTATCGGTCCGTAGGCCGAACGTTCAAACTGTTCGACCGGTATAAAGCCTCGGCGATCTCTCTCTCTCTCGGTGATGTCATTCCCAATTTCGTTCGTCGATTATACGCGCGATTAGTGCAAATGATTTCTCGATGTAACGACTCTGTTGTCCCCTGATCGTGCGACTTTGAAAACTTTAGTCGACGTTTGTCGACCACCTGCGTTTCGTCCAACGTAATCCAATGCCGATCGACGTCGAAACGAGACGAGAGTAGATCGTCGTTTCGCATCGATCGAGACAAAGACCGATCGAAAGTATCGATGAATTACGAAATTATTCGACAGTTTTTGCAACTGTCTCTCGGGCAACCCTTTCTTTCGTTCCGCTCGATTCAACGATTTGGCATACGAATAAAAATGTGCGAATTGCGTTCGACGCGACGCGACGCGACACGGCTCGACCTATAA